CTACCTAACAAGATATGAGCAGCCTGCATTGGGATATTATTACACAAGATTTCATCAGAGTAACTGTTAATAGATAAAGGAATAAGATCCTGTTTGGTTACTCTAGCTTCTCCTACATCAGTTAACCATTGCAAACAATAAGGATTTGGATGATTAAGCAAAGGTAACTGGGGAAATTTAACCATAGCTGCACTAGCCACATTTGTGCAACTTCTAGAATCTATTACCATAGCACAAGCATTCTCTTTAATTGACCCTTTAGCACAAAATATATTTTCTCTTTGAGACTCATATTCTTTTAAAGGGTGAACATTCAAAACCTCCTTAACAACAAGAGTATGACTAGACTCACTATCAGCATATTTAGAATCAAAATCTAAAGGTATGAAAGGTTCTCCCTCAACATGTTCATTGGGGGTTTCAAAATGGTCACATACCTTATCCTCAGATTCAAGACAAGAAGTAAATTTTTCAGATTGTGTTGTTATCTTAACTACCCTTTTGTTACGGCAATCACGAGCTATGTGGCCTCTCTCATTACATCTATAACAAATCAATTCTCTATCATGTTGAGGCCTCACTGCCTCACTTACCTTTTGCTTACCTTTGTCTCGTGAATCATCTCTTGGAGGAGGATGTTCATCACGCTTGTGAGAGGTGGAACGAGTGTTGTTCCATCTCGATGCATCATTTTTGGACTTGTACATTTTCATCTCTTTGATTTTTACCTCAGATTCACGTGCAGCATACAAGGCATCATAAAGGGTGTCATATCTCTGAAAACTCATTCCACATCGAATTTCTAAGTTCAATCCATGAACGAAACGAGCAACAGTTTTTGTCTCTTCTTCATGTATGTCTCTCTGTTTAAGCAAAATATTTATAGTTTGGTGGTACTCGTCAACTGACTTTGTTCCTTGCATCGTTCCCTGCAATTTTCTTTCAAGATTATACAAAAAAGATTTAGGACGAAAGGTTAGGCGCATATCTTCCCTCACTTGAACCCAAGATTCATAGGGAATAAAATTAGCAACTCTCTCTCTATTTCTTTTTTGCCACCAAGACAAAGCATACCCCTTAAAAGATGTAGCAACTAGCCTAATTTTTGTAAGATCAAAATAGTGCTTTAAATAAAAAAGAGTTTCAATAGCATTCTCCCATTCTATGTATTCGGTATGTCCTTTCTCACCGGTGAAGTTAGGAATTTCATATGTAATGTTTCCTAACTCCGTATTACGCTGCTGGATCCTTTGACATCTAGGATCCACTCTTCCTGCTGGTGGCAGGTGTCGCTCATCATTGTGTGGTGGTTGCACTTGTTGTGAGCGTTGCTCCAAATTATTCATTCTTTTGAGTAACCTGTCTATTTTTTGTTCTAATTTCTGGGGCAGGTTTGGAACTTGTTCAGCCATCTGTAGAGGGAAAAAAATCTAAAAACAAGAAGATGTGTGAGTAATCACGTTAGTGAAACCAAAAAGTTGGCTCGCTCCCTCTCTATTCTCAGCTCACGGGTAAGAGGTGGATTATATGGCTCTGGGGGAACACTACACTCTTACAAACACACACTCCACTTGTGTATCACTCCAAGTGGCAGATACTCTCACAAGCCTTTTTTCCAAAAATGAAAATTCTAGTCCGAAACTCAAGTTGATATGGATTCAACCTCAAAGTTCAAGAAAACGTACCTTGGAAAACTTCACAAGTCTTTGAGAGTAAGGGTGTATCGCGAGTTAAGTAATAAAATTGAGAGCAAGAAGCAAAGAAAAAGGACAATACGAGCAAAGAAACTAAATAAGATTTGAAAGAAAAAGGAAACTAAAGAAGGAAGTATGGCAGAAAGATATGCAAGACCAATATCAAAAGATAGAGACAAATAGAATATAAAAGGGGTTCACGTGTACCACAACCAATTAGGAATCATTAAAGAACTCCTTCCAACCTTATAATTTCCCCTTCCTTGTCCCTCCAAAATTCTCCTACCAGCCAAATTCTTTCCCCAACCTTATTCTTCTTCTTTATTGCTTTCTCTTTTTTGCTTTTTTTTTTTCAACTTTCTTGATTTTTTTTTGATTTTTTTGATAAATAACCTCCAAATAATTACTGTAAATATCACCAAAAATTTTGGACCAAGTGGTTCCACACAAGCACTTCAAAACAGAATCAAGAATTTCAAGAATCACCCAGAAAAAACAGAAACGCTGCCCTTACTTCGAAGATCAATATCTCAATGACCGTAAAGAATTAGAAAGTATATAATATATAAATAGAACTCCCCAGAAGAGATCTAAAACATATCCAAATTTCAGATAAAAATAACCAGTGGATCTCGAGATATAGGTCATTCTTTGAAACTGGTCACAGAACGCGAAAATCTGGACAGGGTGTAATTTCGACGTGATTGTGCGTAAATGCGCTTTGAATATAGGTAAGGGTGAGATGGGGTTGTTTTCTTGACAGAATTTTGGGTAATATGGTGCTTAGGAGGTGTGAGGTCTCGTTGATATTAGACGGGAAAAAGGGAAAACTCTTTCGGGATTGTTTTTCAGGAAACTGGAGAACATGGATCAAGATTCAAGAACACAATCAAGAATGCAAAGGAAATTTTTTAAGGGTTTTTTTATGAATAAGACACGAAAAAAAAAGTAGTATGTAAGATAAGAATGAGATAAACCTAGGCTCTGATACCAAATTGATATGAACCTAATCCAAGGTTCAAATAAAGATCGAATATTGTCCCAAAGAATGCTCTCAAAGTAAAGATAGAGTTGGATCAAAATACCTTAAACCTCACGAGAAACCCTTTGTCTTGAATCCTCAAAGACTTGGAAGAATCCCATTGTAGCTTCAAGTACCTCGATGATGCAATCTTCAATCAACTAGAGTCGGATCTAGTTTCCTTCGATTCAAGAACGAGTCCACGAACCTAAATCTAAGGTTGAAGAAAGTAAGATTGATTCGAGTCCACAAATCAATTTACTAGTCAAGTCCACGACTAGCCACTAATTGAGTCCACAATTAGCCATAAGGTTTCTTACACAAGTGTAAAGAAAAACTTAAGAATTTTATTAAATTGAAGCCTGCCAAAACTGATATGGATGTGCCCTATTTATAGGTATAGGGACAGCATTATAATTCTAAATACAATGGGAAAAAGAGTCCTAAACCTAATCTAGAAAACAAGTAAATAGAGTTTCATTTAGAAAGGGATTTAAGGAATCCTTTCTAAATACAAACTAGTGTTTTCTCTTTAATTCTAAACAATTTAAAATAATGATGACCACAAATAATAAAGCTGATTTGGGCCTCGAATCTTGTGGTTGGACCAATTTGTAATCTTAACGGATCTTCATTATGTTGGGCCGCATCAGCTTCAGTCGGGGAGCGTTGCTCGCTCGTAGTAGTTTCCCCGCTTCCGCTGCCCGATCCACTCGAGCTGGATAACCCCTCCGAGCTAGACGACCTTTGTCGCTCGAAGGCTTTCTGTGGTCGTTGAACGACCTCTGGTGAAGACGCCTCAATATCTATCTCCTCACTCAGCTGCTCGACCGCGTCATCATAGTCCGCGCCTGAGACGTTCTGACTGTCTGTGTCCGACATTCTGTCTTCCTAAAGGGCGGTCAGGATTTTGTTAGGGTCAGGTACGACCCAGTCGTGGTCAGTTAGGGCCTGTAGTCGGCCATTGTGAGGTAATGTAAAGCAGAAAAGTAAAAAGCTAAAGGAGAGAGAACTTACCGAGTGATTGCAGTTCGCTGAAAAGCTGAAGTTCCAATTGCTCGACCGACTTTTGGAGTTGCTTGCTTGGGATGCTCCGATTGACTTAGAGGGTTGGTAGAAGTTCAAATGAATCTCAGAAGGGTCTATTTATAGGAGAACATTTGGGCGGGAAACGGCCCACTTGCGCGAGGTGACCGTTCCGGACTCCGAGGCGACCGTTGCAGTCTCTGAGGTGCGCAGAAGCCGACACGTGGCAAAACAGAATGACAGCTGTCCGGTCGGGTTTGGCGGCGGTTGATTGGACTTTTTCATCCCGGCCCATTTTTTCCCGGGCTTGGGGGGGGGGGGGGGGGCTCTTGGTAGGGAATACCCCGACCGACATGCCATGTGTTTTATTATTGTTTATGCAGGTTTACAGGTCGGATATTCCTGAAGGAACCCAGTCGGACCCGACCGGTGCATCTCCTGACCGACGTGGCAACGTTACGCGCTGACAGGCAGGGCTCGCGGGTGGAGACACGTGGTTGCTACGTGGGTTACATGCCGGCCGGCCGGAGTTGTGTCTCCGGCCTAGCGGCTATAAATACCCGCGGCGGCAACAGTGTGAGGGACTTTTGGAACGATCGATAGGCTATTTACAGAGCTGCCCGACAGCAGTCAGTCGGCCCTCGGAATAGTCATTTAGATTGTATTAGGTCCCTCTTCACGATCAATAAAATACTTTATTTGCTTTAACTTGGTCGTGCTTCTTACTTTAACCGCATTACGTGGTATTTACACTATCAGATAGATTTTCACTGTCTGATTTTGCCTTACACAAAGAGTCACAACTTAATATATGTTCGATCTTTCTGCAGTGTTCATGCCGCAAATGTACTTATTAATTTCATCAAAGACATCTAAAGTTGGTGAGAGGATCGCTCGGCCTTCTAGGTGCGACTCATCAAGCATGTCATATCTCGTGCTTGGGAAGGTGCTTTCCACTATAGTTGCTATTGGATCGGGTCCACACTTCAATAGAAACCATGCCAGAATATTGATCTTAGTCAAACCGTCGTTTACAACCCCTGTAATCCCATCTCCGATGTCTGCAATCCATTTTGAAAACTAATCAACTGTACGTCTATCTTCCTTTGAAGCTAAGCTCCGTAGTTTCAAGTTATTCGTGAGCCTCAATACCTTGCAAGTTGTCCAGATGTAGGAAGAATTAATAGTGGCTCCGACAACTATTGACCTCGTTGCTTTTGAAATAATGCGAAGAATTTGTCTAAAATCGCCACCCAAATCTACTGTCTTCCACCAAATGTCTTTTCAGCATTACCCGGTATGACGAACCTCAATAGATCCATCATGGTTTTATCCAAAACCTCAAAATAGTGTTTCTGCATCATCGGTGCTTCATCCCATATGATCAATTTGCTCTGTATTATAAGCTCAATAAGGTGAGTGCACTGCGATATATTGCACGTGGAATCTTCGTTCAAAAAGAGTGGTATAGCAAATCTGGAACACGCCGTCCTGCCTCCCGGCAAGAGCAAAGATGTTATTCCACTCAAAGCAACGTTGAGAACAATATCACCGCGGCTCTTTATCTTTGACGATAACGTTCTCCGCACGAACGTCTTGCCTGTTCCTCCGTAACCATACACAAAGAGCAATCCACCCCCATTATAATAAATATCATTCATCATAGAGTTATAGACATTCTTTTGCTTGTACGTCAATTGTGTTACCAACATTTCATGCTCTCTTCAACGATTCATTGTCATACGCCAACTCTTCGGCTATCAACTTATTTTCCATCAAGACCCATGTTGCTTTCGTCTGGAATTGGCATTTCTGAAAAGTTCATCGGGCTCTTCTCCCACAAAGATAACAACTTCTCCAACTCTACCAAAGCAACTGTTTATTATCCGAATCCAATAACACCAACTTTTATTAATAGTATAGATTAATTAATATTTATATTACTTTGGGCGGAAAAGTTTAAGAGAAGGATTTTACTTTTATTAATAGTATAGATATAAATTGGTGTTAAATCAGTATTCAAATTATTATTATTGGTGTAATTAATAATTAATAAATCATTATTTCCTTATAAAATTACATAATAATTAATAAATAATTATTTTATTATTATAAAATTACGATATTAAGCAGAATTTCTAAAGAACATTACCAATTAATAGATACAGAGTATTAATTAATTTTCATATAATATTTTGTTACCAATTAAGCTTTACTAATTCTTTTACCAATAAATTAATTAATGAATATTAAGAAAAGTTTGAGCGGAAAAATTAAAGAGGAAGGTTTTACTTTTATTAATAACATAGAGTATAGATTAATTAATACTTATATTAGTTTGGACAGGAAAGTTGAAGATGAGGATTTTACTTTTATTAATACTATATAGATATAGATTGGTGTAAAATCAGTATTCGAATTATTATTATTGGTGTAAATAATAATTAATAAATGATTATTTCCTTATAAAATTACATAATAATTAATAAATAATTATTTCTTTATAAAATTACGATATTAAGCATAATTTCCAAAGAATATTACCAATTAATAGATACAGAGTATTAATTAATTTTCATATAACATTTTGTTATCAATTAAGCTTTACTCATTCTTTTACCAATAAATTAATTAATTAATATTAAGAAAAGTTTGAGCGGGAAAATTAAAGAGAAAAGTTTTACTTTATTAATAACATAGAGTATATATTAATTAATATTCATATTAGTTTGGACAAGAAAGTTGAAAATGAGGATTTTACTTTTATTAATAGTATATAGATATAGATTGGTGTTGATAGATACCCCAGGTTAGCCGCCAGGACGGGAAAGTCAGGCAATGCAGCCGGGTCAAAGCATGGTCCGATACTCAGCATGAAGGGGATTCCAGGACCTTTCTCGGTCATCTTATAAGACGTCTGACAACAACAGTTGCTCATCCTTCAGCAACCAATCTCAGTAGTTGGAGCGTCCCCGGGCGGGCTCTCGGACGAGGCTCGGTTGGGCGACTAGCCTCGGAAGTCGGCGTGTCTCCAGCTGAATACCCAAGCGGATTCAGAGGACGACCAGGCTACGCAGGCGATGTGTCCCCGACCAGGCGCCACCCTAAACCCGACTAAGAGACCAGGCTACGGAGGCGGAGTGTCCTCGCCTAGATACGATGGCCCCAGAAGAAACTCCATGGCAGCCGGGCATTCCTGACTGGGCACGTACCCAAAAACGGACATCAGCAGATCCTACGAAAGCAGTCTTTGTTGATTTAAGTAGCTTCCTTAATTAGTCTAGACGGTTTATGGTAATAAGTAGATGGCTACGTCAGCCCTACTCGTCTCTAGGATTGGCCTCACGTCAACCCTACTTGCCATAAACGAACCCCGCGTTCATGTATAAATATCCCCCCCGGGATCACCATGTATCGGGAACGGCACTTTTAAGGGCAAACCCCTAGAGAAATAATATCGCATTATTCTCTCTCTCTCTCTCTCTTAGATGTTTTATCTCTTATTTTCATCATCTCGCAAACACATCTTTCGGTAGTGTTGGCCTGCCGAACGGACATCGAGGCTGTGAAAACCAACTTTGGCGCCGTTTGTGGGGATCGATACAAAAGGTCCCGTTCTTGAGCTCTATTGATGGCACGTATGAGACATAGCAATCGCAACACCGGTCCGAACGCCGCCGTCCAGCCAGTTAACGGGCATGTTGTAGTTGTCGCAAACCCGCCAGAACTGCCCGCCAGCAGTCGCGCTTCCATTGGTGACCTAAGGGAGCAGCTAAACCACCGCGCTTCCAGGGAGCAGTCGGCTGCACATACTGCGCGTACTGTCGCGCCGACTCCCGCGCCTTCAGGGGGGGGACCCGTCAACGCCTGTCGCTCAGGCCCAAGCCAACTTCACAGAGTTGTTGGTGCAAGCATTCGACTCGTACACGCACGGGCGAGGCCAAGCACCCCCAAACAAGATTCAACAACCCGCACAATCAGTTCCCACAGAGAACCCTCGGGCAGTGCCCGAACATTCCGAGCACTTGGGGGGTATTCCACCTGTCAATCAGCAAGCCAACCGCTCGTCGCACTCCCGACTAGGACCCGCAGCCCCAGCGCAGTCAATCCTGGAGCGCTTGGGTGAGTGGGCTGGGAAACACCTCCCCGCCCGGTCGGTCAGAGTGCAGCCGCGAGCCATCATTCAAAGGAGGTTGGCTGCACGACAAAGGCGAGAAGCTACGGAGGGCATAGGGGAGTCATCCGTTCTACCCGACCAAAATAACCCCGAGATGGTCGGTCTATTCGCCGCTGTGCAGGAGCTGCAGCAGATGGTTGAAGGGAGAGACAGACTGGTCGCTGATAGTCACCTGACCGCCTCGCCCTTCTTAGCGCAAGTGCAAACTTACAATGCACCGGCCGGATTCAAGCTGTCCGATCATCCCACTTTTTATGGCTCGGGGGATCCACGTGACCACGTCATCAGCTTCCAGGCCAAGATGCAGGTAATCGGGGCTGACGCCCCGATGATCTGTCGGGTGTTCTTCCCGACATTGACCGGGCTGGCTCAGAGGTGGTTCCTCAGGCTCTCCCCGGGATCTATCAATACTTTCGAGGAATTGGCCACCCAGTTCCTGACACACTTTGCCGGGAGTATGAAGCCCAAGAGGTCTGTCTCGGACTTGGCCAGGGTGCATCAAGACGAAGGGGAAAGCCTGCGCAAGTATATTGCGCGACGGCAGAAAGAGGCGCAAACGGTAGATGGCCTGGACAACCAGACAGCCCTGACGTTCTTTACCGAATCTCTGAGAGTGGACGGGTACTATAGTCGATTGCAGGAGGAGAAACCCAAGACATACACGGAGGCCATCCAGTGGGCCAACCAGTTGGCCGACACCGAGGAGGCGGTCAGACAGAAACGCAAGTTGGAAGTTTCTTCCAAAAGACCCTGAGCGGACAATTCCCGCGAGGGGCGAGCAGCGGAGGAAGGCGACACTCGTGTGAGAGCTCGTCGTATCATGGATCGACTAGGAGCTCCTGCCCCGCGGCTGTTGGCACAGCCCGTCCACGAGGTTCGCGCCCCGTTACCTATGCCCCCGCCTATCCGTCCTGGCGATAGGCCCCAAGTGGTTGGCACAAATCCCCAGCCTTACTGCCGATACCACCGCATGAACACTCACTCCACGGAGGAATGCGAAGATTCAAAGGAAGAAATCGAGGCACTCATCAAGCGCGGTCGGCCACTGCCCCCTAACCAGTGGCGCAGGCCAAGCGCGGCTGAACAGAAAGGAATGGCAAGTCTAGACGGGGGAAAAGCCGCTGATAAGGGTAAGCAATCCATGCGGGAGGAGGACGGTGAAAAGAATTAGAAGCACAAGTCGGTAATAAACGTGATAGTGGGTAGTCATGAAGGTGGTGACTCTGCCAGGGCCCGGAAGGCACGCGCCAGGCAGCTTTACGTGGGCGTCGTAGCCTTTCCAGGAGCCAGACCCTAAGAAAATATGCAGAAAACCGATCGCCTTTACAGAAGATGACTTACCCAGGGGTCCCGTTGTAACACCCCACTTTTCTAACTCTTAATTATCTCTCTAAACGGTTATTAACACAATCTAAGTAGCGGAAAATTAGATGAATGTAGTGAGGGTGTCACCGCCACAACCACCACTCTTGGTGATTGCACAGGCTAAGGGGTAAAACTATAACATACGATTAAGTCTGGGTACTAAAATAAATACTGAAAAGTAAGGGGGAAAATACGTCACCCCAAAACAGTCTACCAACATCATCATTAGTATAGGGTCATAAGTCTAAATCCACAAAGACATCATAAATAGAACTAGAGTTTAGACAGCTCAGATTAAGAGATTAATCTAACTCGATCTGTTCTCACTGCTGGCCCACCTGAAAGGGGTTTTGCAAGCAACACATAGACAAATAGGAAAAACACCTGTTAGCACGAAGTTAAGTATAACCACACTCAACCCTGTAAAGCATTCTAACATATACTTGGAAAACATTTGATATTTTTATATCAATAAGCCAATCTCAAATCATCTTTAGATTATCGTAAACTTTCTAGATGCTTGCACCTTATAATAACAGCTGACATGCTTATATTTGTATAAGACTGATCATGTATATTCATCAACAAATAGATTTCTCAAATAGCTTATCAAGCAATTAATGCTTACAAATAGGGTCATGCTAAAAGACCATATAAATAAGGTGTTCACATGCTTCCACACTTTTAACACATAACATATTAAGTAGAACTTCTATTACATCACAATAATCATGCTCAAGGGAATATCTCAAGTTAAACTTCTCAAATAACAATCATTTACGAAGCTCTATTCGTATACAAACATGTATAGCATTATGATCATGCTTCTTATGCAATCTCGTGCAACAATATAATCATACTCTTATGCAATCTCATGCAACAATATAATCATACTCATGTGCAATCTCGTGCAACGATATAATCATACTCTTATGCAATCTAGTGCAACATTATACTCTTACTCATATGCAATCTCGTGCAACAAATAATCACACTCTTATGCAACCTAGTGCAACATTATACTCATACTCATATGCAATCTAGTGCGTTTAAATATCCATGTTTTTATGCAATTTAGTGCAATAATATAGTCATACACTCATATATAAAATAGAGTACTTTCTATGGAGGTTTCTTTGTTACTTTCTCGAGTCTCTCTTGACTCTCTTTTTCTATCGAGTCTAAATTAACTCTCATACTTGAGTCTCTGTTGACTCTCTTTCTTGAGTCTCTGTTGAATCTCTTTCTTTCTCTTATACTCGTAGACGGCTAAAGGCTTCACAGAAGTGTGACTTACCCCATCGGGAATGGCATAATTCCGACCCAATATCTCCTACCGTCTACGGAACCAATCTCGTGGTTCAAACTCTGTGGAATCAGGTATTGAACTATTAGTCTACACACCCTCTAACTAGGATTCCAAGCCTGACGGAAAGTTTCCAACCTCGTAACGTTGGAATATGCCGCGTTACATAGTCTGGGACCGCAATGTCCATAAATATCTCCTGAGAGGAACATAGTCCAAACGGTATCCTCCAAAACCTCACCGTTATAGATAATACATAAATATATCTCTCATGCATCAATCTCATGCATGCAATAATTCTATTATTTCTCAATGCATCAAAGAATGATATACCACTTGCTTATGGTTTTTGAAAGTATTCTTAGACTCACGTTGGTCCCTTATGCATTTTCGAAATATGCATCATGTGAAATGTCAATATGCTCTATAATATGCTTTTAAATCATGTATACACTAACATGAAGTATTCAAAGATATATCAACATGCTCGGTTTGCAAAATAACAATTTCTAAACATTTCACTCAACAAGTATGCTTCTATTCTCATTGATCAAATAATACAATTTAGTCATGCTTTCATAATAAATCCAATTCTCAAAGGATCATGCTTCTTTACTCAATAAAATCATTATTTGATCATAAAATCAACAATTTCTCAAACACAGAGAGTTTAGCAAAATATGCACTGTGTAACATTTCTTCACAAAATCCTTCTAAACATACTTATTTTTAATCCAAATTCAACGAAATCAAAGCCAAAACGTGCGTCAAAACAATCCCGAAGAGCCAAGCCACAAGGGCCCGTAACACTCGGTCCAAAACGACACGTAGCTGAGCTACAAGGGCCCGACCACTGCACAAAACCTTCACAGTACAAACTCAAGGACCTGGGGTGGGACTCCTCATGGTCCGCCCCATGAGCCCCGTTAAAGTGCTGAGACTAGGCAACGATCCTCTCCAAGGGCCGTGCCCTAGTCCCATGGTGGCACGGCTCTAGCTGGCGGTCCTTCTGATGGGCCGCGGCTAGGGCCGCCACTCTGATCTGGTGCACACTGTGTTGTGCACCAGATAGACTTCTACCTGCAAAAACTTGTCCAAACACTTCCAAAACAATTCCAACAAATCACAAACACATCTTAGATCACTTCCAAACATAAACACATTAAAAACTCATAATTTCTACTCATTTCTACTCAATACTAGGCTTCACAGAGCCAAAACTAGAGAGAAATCCATGGGGTTATACCTCTTGTAGTCTAGACTTCTTGCTTGGATCTCTTCTTCCTCATGGTGTAGCTTGAGCCTCCTTCACCACCTACACTTCCCAACACACCTTCTATCCTTAGCCTATATTCTTAAAGACTAAAGAAAACTAGAAGAGAAATTATGCTAGAAAGGAGGATGAACAAGCTTACTAGGTTGGAGCTTTTCTCCTTGGATGTTGGCAGACAAATGTGAGGAAGAGGCAATGAAAATGAGATCAGGAAAATGTGATGGAATGGAGGGTTTATATAGGGTTCAAAACTCCTAAGATGATTCACAATGATTGGTTGAGGGCAAAGGGGTAATTTCCCCAAGCTAGAAGATGACTTTATAAGGGATTTTTGGATGTTTTGTGGGCCACCATGTATCATGAACCATAGACTAAAAATGATATTTCTCTATTACTTTGGGTGGAAAGTGAATTTTCCCAAAAGCTAAATGGATGAACACTTGTTCAAAATTCTCTTGGTCTCACTCGGGTAAAATTTTCGATTTAAATCTTGGTATGCAAAGTACCCGAAAACTTTGGAATTTTCGAATGAAATTCATTTCTTCGGTGTCGAATTAACTTTAAAATGGAACAAAATTATTTTATTCAAACACCGATTGATCGCAAAAATTTGTAATATGATGAAAAAGCTACTTTGGAATTTCTTAATACTGGATTTATAAAATAAAATTTTGGGTTGTTACACCCGTGGTGCACCGGGACGCCCTAGTCATCGCGATAGACATCCAGGGATCAGTCACCCGACGGGTGTTGGTCGACACGGGCAGCAGTGTCAACGTATTGTACTTGGAAGCCTTCCAGAAGTTGGGATTACCCAAGGAACAGATGCGACCTGTCCGAACCCCCTTGGCCAGGTTCACTAGCGATGCGGTTGAGGCGGAAGGGTGCGTTTCTTTGACTGTTGAGTTGGGCACGTGGCCTCAAGTAAGGAAGTTAGAAATGGAGTTCGTGGTCGTTGCTCTGGAGTGCGAGCACAATGTCATCCTCGGTCGGCCAGGGCTGGAAGACTTGGGTGCCCTCATCTCTATTGAGAATTTGTGTATGAAGTTTCGCACACTGACCAGCGTCGGAGTAGTGTGCTGCGATCAGAAGACGGCTCGCAATTGCTATTTGCAGGCCTGCCGGATGGTTGGGCAGAACTGTGACACCTCGAAAATCTAATCCCTAAATAGAATTAATTATACAATTAATTCTAAATCTTCCTTATGAATGTTTCCCTTCAAATTTCTTAATTGTAAAGTGGGAGGACCTAAATTAACCAAATCCTTGGTCAATTGGTTTAGTCAATAAAAAAAAAGGACCTTGAGCTTTAGAGGTTGTACCTAGCCTTTTGAGGTCTTCTTAGTCTTTTTGATAAAGTAAGGGTATTCTAGACTTTTCACCCTTGCTTGGCATTCAAGATTCACCCTAGCAAGATCACACTTCACTTCCTACATTTGGCAAGAAACCTTAGTCACTCTACCTTCTCTCTAGAAAGGCTAGATTTCTCTCTAAGCCAAGTAAAATCCCTTTCATCCTTGCAAAAGAACTCTCCAAGATTCCACCTTTCCACGATTAAAGCACTAGGAAGGGTAAGATCTTAGCTTTGTTGGTGTTTTTGAGTAGCTTTACCTAGTCTTTATCTAAGTTGTGGTTTTTCTTTGTGTGCTTGGTTGTGTTGAGAAGATTTGGTTGAGGAGGAACTTCAAAGAGAAGTCTAGGGGCTAGAAAGGAAGTGTATCTTGGTATAAAAAGGTAACTCATGTTATACAAAGCCTATTTTACGCTTGCTATGATGATTTCTTGTTATTCTATTGATGTTCTTGATGTT